TGCATGTTTTTTTTTACTTCGTTGTTTTTTATTCCTATAAAATGAGAATATGTGATTTCTGCGCATTTTCTATTCTAATAAAAAGGTGTGAAAAAGGCAGGATATTCATCCAGTTGGTAAAGAAGTATCATGAGAAATTCTTCCAAAAAAATGTGTTAAACAGAAAGTCAATTCAAAGAAGAAATTTGTACACATGCACATATATTTATGTATGACGATTCATAACGTGAAGCATTTCGAATCTCTTCTGTATGGATGGGATAGGGATTTAATAAAATTGTATAATTATTCAGAGGATAATTTACTCGACTAATGATTTCATAGATTCCTTATTTTCTCTTAGATCTACATTTCTGAAATTTATGTCAACGAATCATCACGACTGGAAATCTTCACTAGTTGTGTTGCAACTGGGATGTATTAAAAGGTGTGAAGCGCTTACTTCGAAGAACTTATGTTGGATGATGGTGTAAAACATTATCAAGTAAAACGTTTGTTTTAAAAAGCATAAAAATTTGTTTCGTTTAGATAATTTGGGATAATTTTTAAAGCAAAATAGAGATTTCGACTTTTTTACGACTTGAGTTTTTAACAAACTGAAGTGTATGCATATCCCAGATTTGATATACAAGTTTAGATGAGACAACTGAGTTCGAGTTTCACTGGGAACGTGATTTCCCTCTGACGAGTGTAAAATATGGTTTCTTTTATGAATGTGTTACCTGGATAATGATTTGTACAAATTTGTACTTTAGGCCGCTGTTTGATAACCAAACTCTGAGAATCCCCCTTTTACGTTTAATTATATACACATATTTCAATAGTTTGGTTTGTAAGGATTAGTTATGTTTTACGAGTTGATCACGGATTGATATCAGTTAGAGAACCATTGAAAACAAGGGAGTACTGGACAGCTTCTGTTTCATCCTAGTTTGGGAATCATCGGCAGTACGCACCCACTGGGATTCAAAGTTAGAATTCACGAGCCATTGAATTGGGTCCCAGTGGCTGAATGGTATACGAGCTTGCCTTGTATCCGGAAGGTCCTGGGTTGGAATCCCGGTGGGTGCGTACTGCCGATGATTCAGAAACTAGGATGAAGCAGCAGCTGTCCATTACTCCCTGGTTTTCAATGGTTCTCTAACTGATATCAATCCGTGATCAACTGGTAATACACATATTTCCTTAAGATTAGCTGAGTTATCGGCGGACTTTTCTTAATTTACCTAATGTTCAATGAATTGCATAAGATTATTGTTATCCAGCGACATTTTAGTGAAATTTCGAATTTCCTCCAGTGCTTTAATACCATCAAAGCACTTTTCTAAAGCGGTTGACCAGATTTGTGTTAATATAAGCGATTCAAAAACATTTATTTTCTGTTGACTTATTTTGATTGTGGTATCCTAATTTCTAGACCACATACATACCTGTAATACTTGAGATGATAGAAATCAGTGACGTGTTTAAAAATTGATCTAAATAACAATTATATTGTCACTGTTTTGCTCACGTTCTCTTTATGTATTTCTACCAACTGACATAACTGAAAGCAATCCACATTTCTTGTGTGCATTAATTCATTAAACCTGACTTTAGAATAAGTGTTGAACAAAGTTATGAATGCCTTTTAGAAGTCTCATCAGTAACTTTTCCTGTTTTACTATCAAACTACTGAGAGCTAGCAGCTTATTTTAAGCGACTCTGAAGTTCAGTAAAGCTGAAACTATTTCATGAACATCATGTTATTGACACTGTTATAGTATATACTTAAGGCATATAACACAAACAGACTTTTCTAAGTTGTTGCTTCCTTTAATTTGCTTTGACGTAATCTTCTTTTCTACTCAAGTCAGTTCACTTAAAAGTTTGAACAAGGCAAGGACAACAGTTTCTGCAGAATAAACTGGCACCATTTATTTCGTTGGCTTCCCATCAGCTGCTAACGGCCCAAAGACATTACCAAGTATATCTGCAGAAACAATTTTACCATACTTACATAGAGATCATTTTTAAACATGAAACAATCAATATAAATGCCTACAATGTTAATAATAATAATAAACACTTTCTCCAAAACAATAATAATCATACAAAATGAAAAATTTCGGCGTTATGCATGCAATTACCACAGCAACGAAAAACTGATAACGGCTTCTTTCTGAAAGCATAAATCAGGTTTCAAGAGCTTGATGGTGAATGCTTCAGCAAACTTGAAGAGAAATGAACTCTTTTACCTATTGATAATTTTGAACCATTTTGAAACGTCCACCTCATGATCCGTGTCTATGAAATGCCTGGGGCTGGCACTATTGTAAGCATTGGTTCCCTTGAGATGTAGGCTTTTCGTTACATGTTCAGAAAATCGGAAGTATGCCCTTCTTTCTGTTCTCGCAATGTAACTGCTTCCGCAGATACATGTAAATTTGTATACATGGTTGAAGTTGAAATGAGAAGGGTATCTATCGACTTTTAACTGCATCAAAGAGTATGTTGTTGGATACACGGGAACCAGCGTAGCTGCAGGATAAGCTCTGGCTAGTGACGTAATGAACCCTGTGTTGACAGTTGCTGTAATATTTCCACCTTTAAAATCAAGTTGAATGTAGATAGGCTCTTTACCGCTGTGATTTACTTGACATTTGAGCCTTCATATCTTCCGTACTTTTTAATGAACCTTTGAGGGTAACCGTCACTTTTCAACATTTTTTCGAGAAACTTAAATTCTTCCTCTAATTTCTCTGTAGAGCATATTCTCCTCGCTATATAGTATAGAGTCTTGACTTGTGCTCGTTTAAAGCTATTTGGACAAAAACTATTGAAATGAAGGTATTGTCCATTCCATGTAGGCTTTCGGTAAACTGACCTCTGGAGACTACCATCTTCTACGCGTTGCATGGCAATGTCGAGGAAATGGAACTTTCCATCATTTTTATGTTTTATAGTAAATTCAATATTTGTATGTGCGCCGCTGAATAATCTTAGTAGGTAGGAAGCATGAATTTCATCGTTGCACACTATAAATGTGTCATCGACATATCGACAAGAGGAAGTTGTTTTGTCGATTGCATGCTTCAACTTTGTTTCCTCAAGGTTTGACATGAAAATATCTGCTAAATCAGGGCTAAGTGGACTGCCCATAACTAAACCATCTATTTGCCGGCAAAGAGTGTTATCAGACTGGAATTGTACATCCATGGTTCACATTAGCATTATGCGAATAGATTCCGGCTCTAGGAGTGGTAGAAGATCGGACTGTTGACAAATAATCTCGATAGTTTCATTGATTGCAATCACTTTGAGCAGGAAATTTGCACCAAATGACTCCATGAGCTTATTTGAAACGTTCATGTGGTTCACAATTTCGGAGAAATGAATTGAGTCTTTCATGGTGCAAGATGGCTAGCCGTTGACGAATTGGTTCTAACCTCTCCGCAAGTCAACTAGCAACCTTATGCTAGGGCAAGTCGGTCATCGAAAGTATAGGTCTCAGCGAGACTTCTTTTCTCTCTGTTTTTGGAAAGCTATACATGAGCGGCGAACGAGACCTTCAGGATTTTAAATCATTTTTGGTGTTTTTGTCAGTCAGCTTCTTCTTTAGGAAATCTCCCAGTACGTTTCTGATACATTTTTCAACTACATCTGTCTTATCTTTCTCGCCATCGTCAACTTTAAACCTCAACGAGTCATTTAACATAGTTTGACTCTTTGCGAGGTAGGCATCTTTCTCCATCAGCAACAATCCTCAGTCTTTGTCAGGTAGCGATATGACAAGTCACACAAATATGTACAGGAATGCGATAATCCGAGAAGCTAATATTCATTTGATTTGTCACGTGAATTTAATGGTAGTGTTTTAGCTATTTAATTAAACATGAATTCTTGTCGGTATTCTTTGAGGAACGTGGTAGAACGCATTTCATCCATGAACAAACAATACACTTTTCGTATATCTTCTTTGCTCACTTCCGAACATTTTCGTTTGTGGCAAACTGAATTCGCAGAAGTTATAAGCTGGATCGTATTGTAATGAAAGAAGACAAGGGCCAGACAACAGATCATATATTGAAAAAATCGACAGATATTTATAGATTTTTATGTACATTATTATTCGTTATTATTAGCGGAGAAGCAACCTCTTCTGGTTGGTTGTTTTCTTGCTTAAGGTTATTCTGTACTGCTTGTGACCATTTCTTACACAGTTATCCATATATCTGCGAATCTTATTTGCACACGTTAATTCTGCTGTGATTAGTTGTTGAGTTCCTCAAGGTTAGGCTTTGTTATTGTTTTTTTCTGATGGCCCCGATTTGGGACGTGAACACTGATGTAAATTGTTGTCTACAGTTTCGGCTTGTAGACAGCTTTCACCACAGTATAACTCGAAGATGTTTGCATGCCAGTTCGAGTAAGCATAAGCAGTGCGTCTTCTGATATATCAACGTCTTCCTCCTCATTTCGAACATTTCGAATAGCTTGGATTTCTTTATCTGTTTATGGTTCATTTGAAATGATGGGCATCCGATTGAGCAAATCAGTAAGTATTCCATCCTGGCTTTGATAATTTGTACCGCAAATCTGTAGCAATAATAAGGACGGGAGCCATGTCCGATTCGAGAGCCGGATTAAGGAACGAAAAACATTTTATATCACGTGTGTTATTCGTCAATAAACAGAACCCCAGGAATGATTTCGACCTTGCCCTCATCACACCGTTTAGCGATTTTGTGATTTATTTGATCTCTGACTTCCGACTTGATTTCTCCAGTACCTGCACTGAATAATGCTGGGAAACTTTGTGTTCTAGTAATGATTACGTCGACTTCATGTAAAGTAACTGCGTGAACTTGTTTTCGTTTTTGTAACTCCCCTTCCGAACAGTGGACAAACTTTGTCTGACCACCTGTGGCATCGAAATCTCGAGCTTTGGGGAATGACAGACATAGTTTTGTCACTTTTTCAGGAGGTTTGTCGACAGTGATTACATCACCTGCATGAACTTATTCCTTTGTTAGAGACTCAATCACCTTCTCACCTAAATCGTATACTACTTGCATTTCGATTATCTTGAGTTTGAGTTTGTCAACTTTAGCACTTGTCCCAAGTTTAAGGCGATGTAATAGTAATTCAACAACTTCACCCTCAATTATTTCTGCTTCTTTAATACGTACACCAATAGACTTTCGAAAAACTTGTGTCAGATCTTCTATCTTGCTCATTTCTAGCGACAATGTATCACTGCTAGCAATTATAGTAAAAGGTATATCATGTTCGAGTGCATGGGCCATACCCATAGCTATTGCTGTTTTTTCCGTGTCAGGGGGACTAGACAGAAGCATCGCATGTCTAACAATTTTTTCCTTCACGTATCAAACCTAAAATAAGACCCGCAGCTCTTATGGCTTTACTCTTCCCAACCATTCCTAGTGAAATCTGCCTTGCTTCGAAATCATCATTCAAGCCCAAACCGCGTATATATTAGGGTGCAACAATGCGCTCTATATGCGTTATCTTACGCACTGTGACTTCTTGAACAGTATTGCTGAAAATAACTATTTGAAAGTATTCATTGTTTTCAGAATATCCGATTGCTGAATGTGTAGAAATGTTTGCAACATGCCACCCGGTATTTTAAAAAAAGAAACTTTTCGGTTTATTGTTCTTGTTTTATTGTAGCTAGTTCTCCGCCATCGTTTTCAGCTGGTCCACGACTGCCTATAAGCTTTCAATCCTTCTTCTCCATGGTATTATAGAATGCTCATTTGGGTTCAACTCGAGGGCCTAAAATGCTGTGATAGGTGACGCCAACAGTCTTCCCAAAGTGTTTTGTGTCCACCTCCATTTCGTTTTGCATATTTTTTGGGTATCGGGATATTAGTTCGTTTACGACCTGCTGAATTCCTTGTCTCTTATCCTTTTAGACTCATTGACAAGCGACGCAGAGTAGGTTTCAGGTAAAAGAGACACCATGGCATTATGAAATAACCATATCCTTATCCTGGAAAAGACCGACTCAGATGAAGCCAGTGAAAAGTGATGGTGGAAACCTCGTTGGGAAAAAGCCGGAATAGAGGCATTGTTGGGATTATTCCTTCAAAGGACTCCTCAATCCACTACCACCTACAACTCATCCAGAAATACCCCCACAACTTGAACAAAGCGAAAATGATAAGTTGAGCGGGATGAATTTTATTCTATTTATTATTTTTAAATGCATAAAAATTGAAACCATTTAATGTCAGTACACAGTATTTTCAGATATTTTATTTATTGATTATAAGGGAAAGCCACTGAATACAGACCTTCAGACGAAAACAGGAGTCTTAAGGGCCAAAATATTGCTGAAAATTGGTAAGACAGCAGGACCAGATAAAATCATCCTAGGAGCACTAGGAACAAACTCTAAGGCATCAGTGGATATGCTCTACCAACTGCTTCAGAAGTTATAAAAGAAATGGAAGGTATCTGCCATTTACTGTAACCTACGTCACTTTGTAGGTAGTTTTGTGCTTGTACACGCTTTCTCCAATCATCAAATCACTAGAGATTCTGAAGTCTGCAAACAGCTCTCCATCCGCATTAATTTCATTCAGTGCCTTTACACTTACAATCAGTTCTATTCCTGTGTTGCTTGCTCCCAGTTTGTAGTACAGATCACCCAATGAAACCTTTATGTGTCCATCTGACTTTTATCTAGTCCATTACTGCTTGCAGTAATCCGTAAAAAGATTTATATGATTGGCAACGTGTCGATATGATGGCGATTTCTGCTGAGAGTGACACTGTGAGTGTGACACCTATGGCAATGGACGAAAATTATATAAGTCTGTCCTGTTGTGACCCTCAGAATGGACCATAGTGGCATTCTGATCATTGTATTGTACGAGTCTTACCCAAAATTTACGGAAAGTTACACAGTAAAGCCCTCTCAAACTTGTCAAAGAAAGTTGTTCACAGATGTTACTCAAACGAGAACGTACATTATCTTAGAAACATGCTCAGTGACACAAGATGGGACCTGTTTAATGATGATTCACTTGATGACAATATCTCTAATATTACATCCTATCTGAAATTCTGTTTTGAAATCTGCTGTCCAAAAGAAACACTATTCGTCAAATTTGACCGTTCCTCCTCGCCTCAACTTAAAAAGCTTCGTAGAGAGAAGGGAAAACTGTATAAGATGAAAGATAAAAGTGGTGTAAAAAGAACTAACTTCTTAATTAAGTCTGAAATGCAGAGGTTGAATGTAATATATAACCAGAAATTCATATCCTGCAAAAATCCTTCTAATATGTGGAAACTATTCAAGGAAATCACTGGTGGTAAGCAGATAAACAATATTCCATATTCTTTTGATGTATGTACTCTTAACAAATCTTTTATTTACTCTCCCTCAAATGCCATGCTTCCCAGCATCACTTGTGTTAATAATAGCCCCTTTCCAGGTTTTAACACAAATGATGTTCAAAAGTGCCTCAAGTCTCTAAACCCTTCCCAGAGCTTAGGTCCCGATTATGTACCTAGTATTATCTTTAAAAAGTGTTTAAAAACAAATGAATTGTGACAAGCCAATAGATGCAGGTGTCAGACTACCAACTTCGTCTATAGCTAAACATCTAATCGAGATGAACCATAAGGATGATGTTAACTCAGCCTTTAAGGTCATCTATAAAATCGGTCAAGGGCGCTTATTGAAATACACTGAGGCTATAGCTATTCATAAACTTAAGCCCCCTCTGTGTATTCAAAAACAGTTTGTTATTACAAATACAAAAAAAACCTTTATTATAATGAAGTTTTTTATTACTCTTAACCTACCTTGGTAATCCTTATTTGATTGGATTACCAAACTTTGTGTTAATTATTCTTAATTCTTTTTTTGTCACTTTGTTGAATTCAACTTTTCCATATATATTGACTTGACAAGTAAATGTGTGATCAGATTGTTCGAAATGTATAGTGCCAATACATCACATTTTCCAGATAATCTCCGTCTCCTAATAACGCTATCAAAATAGTTAATCTAGCAACTATGCTTGTGACAATTAGTCTCTTTCATTATTGTTCTCTTTTGTGAAATTATTAAATATAAATGCCGTAGTACAGCTTAGGGAAATAAAATCGCCAGAAGGAGCCTCTTCAATGAACTACTTAGTTTATTTGTTTCTTTCATAAACGCTTGGTTGGAAGTTATTCATTATCTTGTTATTGCTTATGGTCATAATAAAATTACGTCTATTATCTAGTCTGCTTGAGTTTTATAAACATATTATTAGAATATGAAGTTGTTCTTGAGGCATCGATTGACATGAGTAAAGTAAAGATCTGAGCAAACGACCCCAGTAGTCATTTTTCCTTCTCAGTTAGCTGTCCCCACTTACAGTGTGACTGAGTGTCACTGTAACCTTGCCATCACGTCTTTATTCCATTCATTTAACTGAAATAAAATCCAGTCCGTTTTGTTTGCTGTATGTACATTTTTCGACCGGTAGTCGTACGTGGATTATTAAAAGTAACTTCTAGAGTAATACAATGTACGATAGACAATAGAATACAGTCTGGTAAAGATTAACCATCGACTGCTACCATTTTCAGAGTAACTAATATTCTTGCATGCTGACATGAAATAGAAAATAATAATCTTTGATAAATTCTTTGGCGACAAAAACATTGGTTGATAAATGATTGATAATCATGACAGTTGAAAACGTCTAAATGAAACGATGTGTTATTTTGAATAACCTGCATTACCTTTCTACATACTGATTGGCAGCTCATTACACTGTTATCAATTCTCTATAGCACTGAGATGCTGTATATTTCCATCAAAATGAAGGGTAAATTAATTCGCTTGTGTACATAATTGTCAAAGTTTTAGCAATCAGTAATTTACATTGGTTTGCAATCTCCACACTACAAATTTCTTTCGTCAGGTCTTTTGAAATGTGTATATCATTGTATAAAATTTTATCTGAATACATACAATCTGTGTGGACTATTTCACTTTTAAATGTCAGTATAAACTTGATTATTTTCTAAATAACTTTATTTTAACTAGAATTTTTAATATGTTTGTGCGTTGAAGTTTCTGTAGGGATTTGGTTAAGTTTTGGGGGTGTAGTTGCTAGCACTACGCCTCAACCCTCTCTCTTTATTCAGGCTTGGAATAGGCTAGAAAACTAGCAAGCTAGTAATGTAGATGAAGTTTTGATTTTATTTGAAAGAGGTTACTTCATTCACTTATCTAGGGAGCATTGTCTCAGCTACAGGCAGTCGGAACGGACAAGGATGTCAAATCGAGCGAGAATCGGGAAGGCGAGAAACATGTTCATCAACCTGAAAGCAATCTGAAAATCTTCTCCACTCAGCATCAACAACAAAACTCGGTAGGATTTTTAATACAAACGTAAAATCAGTTCTTCTATACGGATCGGATGAGAAACTCGGTGGGCGGGCACAAAGAATATATCCAACAGCCTGTTGCAGACCTTTATCCATAACTGTCTTCGCTCTATACTGAAGATCAGATGACCGGGCCAAAAAGAATCACCAAGAAGAAACTATGGCTGGGAACAAACAAAACAGGAACCAATTACCCAACAAATATGCAGGAGAAAGTGGAGATGGATTGAACACTCGCTCGCTGAGGAGGCCGCTGGGTGACATCGCGCGCGCATCAGGCCATTGCTCGAGTGGAACCAGGCCGAAAGGGAAGCGGCGAGTGGGACGTCAGTGTGAAGGTTGCATGGAGGAGATGGTGTGAAGAGGAGTTGAAACAGTATGGATTAACATTTATGGAGGTGAAAAGTGCAACAGAAGACAGAAGCAAGTGGAGATGTTTAGTTGAAGCCCTATATTCCACTAGGAACCCAGGGGAACAATAATAATTATTGTTATTTTAACTAACCATTTCAGTGGACAGATGATAGTAACTTCATTCATCTTTATAAAAATGAGCTACCAACCAGGCAAGTGGTCCCAGGTTCAGTCCCCGACTGACGCACTCCAAAACTTCACTTAAGTGGTAGTAAGCTTGGTAAACAGAAGAGGTTGGGCGTGAGGCCGACAACCCCACCCAGTGAAAAATAACCAACACTGCTACTCATACTCTAAAGCTTAAGCTTGAAACCCTGTGTTTCACTTGAGACTAAAGGGATTAAAATAATAATACGAAAAACAGTGATGTATGCTAGTCAGTTCACGTAGTGTAAGATGAAGAAACATTTGAAAACAGAATGTATGTGTATTCATGTCCATTAGCTTGAGAATACTTACATTCACTGGTGTTAAATGACTTTGTACAAATTTAGTGTTTTTAATAGATAAATTGTGTTGT